AATAGTGTTATGTTCCTTACCCTCCAAATACTGCACCTAAATTTCAGGAGATTTTAAACCCTGAACTTTATGCTATGAATGAAAGAAATAATAGAGAGATTTCTTGATAGACAAATCCTCACTTTGCCATCAGTTCTTTCTGGGGTTTTGGTTTGTTTTGTCTTGTTTTCCTCTCCAATGCAACAGCACACACTAGGAACCACTTTTCTGTTCTGGCATCAGCACAGGCGCTGAAAGATAGAGTAAATCTTTGGACTGACACAGGGTTACATTGATTTATCCTGGGAATCTAAGCTCTGATCAGCCCTCTATGTAATTTCCCAATTATATTGTTCCTCTAACACACTGCAAAGTGACTTTCATCTTCTTACACAACTTTGTTTGTATGCAGTTGAGCATTAGATTACAAAATTTTCAGGCTTCACAGATGACTGCCTGAACCTAAGCCTCATTAAACCCCCAGAGATCAGACTGAAGAAACACTTGCTATAATTCTAGTTTTGAACAGCTGTCAAAATCCATGTAACTTTCAAAGTTTCTTATTCTGTTCCAAACACTGGAGTAGCTCTGTGTTTGCATTTTGAAAAACCAAGACACAGTAAAACATCATCTGTCCTAGGAGGCTTTTTCTCCTAACAGTGTTTTCATCTCCTATTAACAAATATTTTTGCACATGTTATGGCCATTTAAAAAGGACTCAGATGGGATTTAGGTGCTATTCCAAGACAACAGCAACTAGCAAAGAATGAAAGAAGATGAAGGACAGGAGGAATAGAGGGAGGAAAAGAAAAAACTAGGGAAATCACGAGCAGGTTATCCGCAAAGGCTGGTCAAGTGATGCTGGTGGAGACACCTTGTTTTAAGCTAGCACCTCTGTCTTGTTGCTGCAGGATTGCTGTGCAGACAGGCAGGACTTCAAGACTTTCCTGTTTTGAAGAGAGAAATGCCAAAACACCCAAGATTCAGGACGGTTTCTAGAATTGGTTTTTTCCTTCAAGAAACAAATATCTTGGAGAAAATAAATTTAACTTAGAGTAATCCATAACTAGTGCTCCCTTACTCTCACGGGTTGGCTGCCTTGTTGCTGATTTTCCATATTTAAGTGCTTTAGAACAGCAAGATAAATGACAATGATTTTCTCTACTCGCTTATTTAGCCAAAATGCTGTATGACAAATTGCATACTGATGCTTTCAGTATGAAAAGTACACCCTTAGCCTGGAGCCAAGGAATAGCCTCTTTCAGTAATTGTCTGTATAAACATATACACATATATACAAACTCGTATTGAAACCTCGGTCAGAAGGATTCCCCTGATCTCATCCAATCTGATCCCTGCTCAAAGCAGGGCCAACCTTGAAGTTAGAGTCAATGTTAAAATTAGATCGGATCTCTCAGGGTCATGTCTAGTCAAGTTCTGATTATCTCCAAGGATGGAGATATATACTCATTCCATAATAAACAAGTGGCTTAGATCTAGAGCACAGGCAGCTCAAGGACTTAACCTTTAGGGGTTTATCTGCAAAATAAACCAACAGCACTAATGGAAGGGACCATGTGAAAGCAAAGAAGCATCATACCATTCACTAGATTCAGATCTGAGTTTGGATTATAATCTACTGTTCTGTGACTAATTTTGTTTTTCCAATTCCGATTTCCAATTCCAGAGTTTTTGTTATTAAAAAAATCATGGGTATTTTTCCCCCTTGGAGAAAAAATAATTACATTATATATAGATATGAAATTTAAGGCCTAAAATTAAAATTGTATCAAGATGTTTCCTTTTAGGCTCTGTCTCACCCACAGATTCTGAAAAACTTATTTTACTGATTAAAACAATTCTGGCAATCAAAGAGTCCAAGGTTTTACTGGCAGGACTGAACTCTTCTGCCCTTTATAAAATTCAAAGGTTGAAAATCACAGAGGTGTTTGCTTCCACAAGGGACACATATACCTACCTTGTCCTTTTTTACAACAAAAAACTTGCAGTTACCTGAAGACACCCTTGGGTCCATCATCACGTACCAGCCACGCTCCCACGGTTAAAAGGAGCTCAGGTATTCCCAGGAGTTTCCTGCTGGAGGTGGAGGGCCCCAACACAGAGGGAGCAATGCTCACACACAGTGGGAAATATGCAATCCCAACCATTAATGTGTAAGTACAGAATTAATTGGACTGACCCAAAGTGACTGAGAGAAACCATGTGGAAACATCTGAGTGCCAAAGTCACTACGTTGGCCAGCATCACCGGTGCTTGAGGGGAGAGATCATTTGTGTATCTTCACCTTAAAAATTTGTGATATGTTCTGATATTAGGAACAAAATTGTTTCCCTGTCCCTCTTCTCATGTTGTGACTATAGAAAAGCAGTTTAAAATGAGCTCCCATCGTTTAGAAGGCAGATGTGGAGTGAAAATTTCATCTATTAACTTCCTTTGATAACATCCAAAGCTTGGAAAAGTTTTCCTTTACAAATCTTTACCTATTTTTATTTTTACTTGGTGGCCTTGCAGCAGCTGCTGCCTGCTTGCTGCCCATGAGAGTTCAGTCTCGCAACACATTTAGTTTTAAAGCCTGACAGCTTCCCTGGGGATCAGAAGCTGCTGCAGGAGCTGATGTGTCTCCATGAGACTGAAGTGACTCAAGAGAAAAACACAGGGATGCTTCTGCAGGCATTTTCCTGCAGGTTTCTGCAGGGCAGCTGCTGTTCCCACTCTGAGCACATCCTGCACTGGGTCAGTGCCTGGGGAGACAAACCCCAGGTGCCTTGTCAGAATTTCCCAGAGCAGGAGAGCCCAAGTCCTCTCCTCTGGCCATCTGTGACCTTTCCATGGACATGTGGAAGCCTTCTCAGGTGTATTCACTGAACACAACAACTGGTCTTCTCTGCTTTGGGAACTTTGCAGTCCCCAGAATGGGAAGCAGTGTCAGGGACAGCATAGGTTGGGCATCAGGACAGGCTTTTCCACTAAGAGGGTGGTCAGTGCCTGCAACAGGCTCTCCAGGGAAGGAGTCATGGCACCAAACCTGCCACAATTCAGGGAGTGTCTGGATGACACTCTTAGTCATTTAGTTTAGTTTTAGGTACTCTTGAGAGGAGGAGGACTTGGACACAATGATTGATATTTGTCCCCTCCAATTTGAGATATACTAGGATTCTATGATAACATCTCCTCTATATTTTTAGCTCCCAGACAGAATAATGCAGATATTTTCAGAAATTTCAGAACCCAGGCCTTGAACAAAAATTCCAAAAAGAGCAGGTCTTGCTCGTTCAATAGGTTTTCCTACCCCTGAATTACTTATGGAAATTGATCTGGGAAGCACCCAGGATTTTCAGCCATACATGCAGATGGGAGTCCATTCACGGACGCCGCTTCTTTCAGCGATGTTTTATTGCTTGTCACAGTACCATAAGCAGCATTGCTGGAATGTCACTTCCCCTGGCACAGCAAAGACTGTCCTCTGTGATCATGTGCATCCGGGAATGATTCCATCCCTGACAAACGCGTGCAGCTGCGCATGGGAAGGGCTTGGTGGGAAATGAGCGCTCTGTCTGGCCCCTGCACCCCTCAGGGCTGCACCTGCCCAGGATGGCCAGAATGCACACATGGCCCATGGTACATGATGCCTACTGGTCCCATCAGGACAGCAAAGACTGTCCTCTGTGATCATGTGCATCCGGGAATGATTCCATCCCTGACAAACGCGTGCAGCTGCGCATGGGAAGGGCTTGGTGGGAAATGAGCGCTCTGTCTGGCCCCTGCACCCCTCAGGGCTGCACCTGCCCAGGATGGCCAGAATGCACACATGGCCCATGGTACATGATGCCTACTGGTCCCATCAGGATCTTCCTGAGCCAGCACCGCGCACTGCCCCGGGGCCTGACCGCACACGGAGCTGATCCTGCTGCCAGGGGCAGCGCCACAGCCGCACAGAAGCTCCGCAGGGCGACACGGGACCAGTTCTTCACCGGTCTCAAGTCCTGGCCTCAGCGCATGATCTGCTCAGCCTGGTGGCTCCTTCTCAGGAGCAAGGAGAAAGGCTAAGGAGCATCAGGGAGCCTGAGGAAGAGTGAGGCTGCTGGCACCAGGCTCGGCCTTCCCTCACACAGGGACTGGAGCAATCACCAAGCAGAAAAAAAAAGATCAAGAGAAACTGTATCCACGCTCCAGCAGGCTGAAGGCAGGAGCTTAGAGGAGAGGATCTCCTGCTCCGTCCAGGAACAGAGAGCTTCCTCCGCAAACGCAGTAATAGGATGTGTGGATGCCATGCAGGAGCCCTTCCCACAGCAGCAGGGCAGCCCTGCCCAGCTGCTCTCCGGCACCACCGCCGAGGAAACCAGCGGCAGGATGGAAAATCAGCCCCGCTCAGTGCCCTCAGCCATGGGCACCAGAGACTCCCAAGGAGGAGGGAGGCCGTCAAACTCCCAACGGAAACACACCAGTAACTGCTGGGGCACAGCAGGCAGCAGTCTGTGCCGCCCCAAAGGACTCTAAGCTGTGATTTAAAATACCAGCAGAAAAAAAAAAGATTGGCTGGAGTCTTTTTGAGAGGCTGAGAAGGCAAAGTGCATGTTTGGGAGCTGTTCTACAAAGGGGGAAAGTGTGTCCCCTCTTCCATGCTGACTAGAGAGGCATGTTCTGGACAGGTACAATTCCCATCCAAAAGCCCATAGTCACGAAGGATGCATCGATACTTGCATCCTTTTGGTTGGATTGGAATTTATTGGTTAGATTTCCCTTTCCAGAAGAGCTGCAGTGGTGCCATGGTGCCATGGTTCCATGCTGTGAGGTCACAACGCAGGCACTGGGTGTGTGGTGCCGTTGCCGGGGGCACCCTGATCAGTCAGTCTGCACTGGCAGCAACTGGTGCAGGTTGTGTCCCAGATCCCCCTGGTCAGGACACTGAGACAGAGGTGCCCCAGTCCCCTGAGCCAGAGTGAGGTCTGGGAGGCAGCGTGGGCCAGAGGGAGCAAGAGCCGAGCCGGGGCAGCGGAGCCATGTCGGCTGTCCACTACAAGTTCGCCTCCCAGCCGAACTCCAAGGTGGTCACCTTCCAGGGCCCCAGCATCTCCCTGGGTGACCTCAAGCGCCAGATCATGGCCCAGGAGAGGCTGAAGGAGGTCAACAGCGACCTACAGATCCTCAAAGCTGACACCAAAGAAGGTGCTTGGGGGAGATGGGCACGGGGTCTTGGGGGCTGCCTGGCTGGCAGTGCTGCAGACCACCCTGCAGTGCTCAGGGACTGTGGGAGTCGCACTCTACTCTGTTTCTCATGATGAGTGAAGCAGAATGTTTCCTATAAAATATGTTTTTAGATCTGTAGAGGATTCTCTGGTGTGCCGTGTCATTCTAGATTAATACCTACCCATTCCTTTGACTAAGGACTAACTTTTTTTTCGTGTTGTTCTCAGAATACCCCGAGGATGCTCTGATCCCGAAGAACATCACGGTGATCGTGAGGAGGGTCCCGGCTCCAGAGATGTGAGTACCCATGAGGCATTGGATTCCCTAGCAGGGCTGTCAGGGTGGGAACTTTTTTCATGGATATTGGTTTACAGAGGTATTCAGACTGTATCTTGTCCCAGCTGCTGTTAATTTTCTTTGTCCTCGGGGAGATTATAATTTATCTGCCTCGAAGTAGACTTCCAGTTTTAGGTCTGCAGGGACATGGGGCTCAAACTCCTTACAGTGGTGACTTCTAAGGTGATTCTCTTGGGCTTGGGGAGATTTGGCTGAGAGACAAGTTGCAGATCTCTCTTCCTCTGCATGGAGAGATTCCTGGTTGCATGTGTTTGCTTTTATTGTGTTTAGAGTAAGGACAGGTACACGGCAAAGAATGTATATATTATCACAGGTAGACTGTTCAGATCTTCCCATCTCAGAAGAGTCTGGGGGTCAGTGTTTGACTATTTCTTGCATTTGGGGGAGGCGGGTGTAGGGGGGGTGGGAGTGTATATGGCAGGTCCCCTTACACCCCAAATCTGGGGCTTTTGCATACTGTCTGAACAAGAGAGACCAAGAATCCTGGATGCCGCAGTGTTGTGCTTCAAAGCAGGGCTTTGGTTTGGGGTTAATGGCAATAGGGATGCTTAGTGCTGCCCTGTCACTGCATCCTCCCTTTTGGGCCAGATGGCACCTCTCCTGGTGGTGTAGTGCTGCCCTGGAGTGAGAGGGTGGATGCCGGTAGCATCCCAGATCCCATCAATCCCTGTGTGCGTGGATCAGGAGAGAAGGGCTCTGCAGGTGCAGTGATGGCAATGTACCAGGCAGTGCAGCTGTCTGTGCCTTCAGCTGGAAACACTGCTGAAACATCTGGCAGAGGGAGCGGCTGATGTTTGGGAGTGACAAGGGTCCGCTCCCATGGGGGTTGCAGGTCTGGTCCATGGGGACTTGCATCAGACACAGACCAAGGAGTAGGTGGAATGCCAGCAAGATTTCAGCTGCAATAGATTACTCCTAAAATATTGTCACATCTTCAAGATTACCTGAAAGCAAATTCTGCCAATTCAAACTTGTTTTTTCTTTTTTTTCCCTGCCAGGGCTCGTAAATCCCAAAGGTCCCAAACAAAAACACAGCAATCCTTAGGAACTGGAACTGCTGCCAGGTGAACATTCTGCTCCTATTTTTACTCACTCTAGCTGCCCTAACACACTGGGCCCTTTGGCGCTGTCGTGGCTAAGGATGGCAGAGATCTGAACACAGGGCTGGGGCTCCCCCAGAGAAACACTGTCCTAGAGACAGAGCTGCTGACAGTTCTGCTATTGCTCTGTCAGGGAGGGATTCTTTGGCACTGAAGGAAACTTGCACTTCTGGGTGTCCTCTCACTGTTTTGGCTTAGAAACTAAAGTCCTGTGCAAGCGGTGACAGAGTGGACAAGGGAGTTTGGGGGCTGGTTTGACATCCCCTGAATGTGCCAAGAGGGAACAGTTTTGTGTATGCAAATAAATTTCCACGTCCCCTAAACTCTCAGAACACTGTTTGGGTTTGATGCTCAGGTTTTATTGTGCTTTTTCACTGCTTTATGCTGGGTCTGATTGCTTCCTTTGGAG